TTCTCCCTCCCCGCCCCTGCAAGCTCCTACGGTTTTTGGAGGCTTCAGCAGCTCCTCTGGGAGGTTCAGCCGAAATAGAGGACAGGAGGGAGCCGGGCTGCGGAGGGCTCTGCCCCGGCGCCAAGGGATGGGGAGGGCGCACAGATGCGCCCTGCTCTGCCGGGGAAGGATTGCACCCGTGTCTCCGGGTAATGAAAGCCGGGTCCCAGGCGGTCGTTTCCCTTCGATTTCTAATTGAATGGCGTGGGGCAATGAGTGGGGAAAACATATTAATTGAGCGAGTTTTTTTTTTTTAAAAAGAATAATAATAAATATAGCTACGTTTAACACAAGACCGTGTAAATATGTCAAACGGGAATACTACAACATTCCAGGCCTTCGTTATCGCCTAGAGTAAAAAATAAAGTTTACGATGAATTCCTGGACTGTGTGAAATCTATTAAGTCAGTCGGCTGGATGGAGTAGACGCCAAGAGCTGCCTTTTCTAAATTTGTATAAGCTTCAGTGTAATATTGTTCATTGGCGCCCTGAAAGCTTAATACATTTTTTGTAGTTTTCTGCGAACTCTTGGGTACATGCAAGCCGCAGAAACTGGAGGGGAGAAGGGGAAGATACTAACGCTGTTCAAAAGCCTTCGGGAACCTGAGTCGAGGCGACCGAATAGAAACGAAATCGCTTACTCGAAAATTGCGAGCAATCACTATAAAAATCCTCCCGGTCGGTGTAGAGTAAAACAGTCTCTATGAGCCTACACCGAGTAGCTGTGCAGCAAAGGGATTTTCAGCTCTCCGTGCAAGTTTTACTACCCCTTATAAGACTAGGCTCGATACTAGAGATTCTCTTATTTGACTTCAAAATCATAGATGATTTGCAATAGATATTTAAGAGGTTCATTTCCCATCAGAGAATAGAAATGTAACCACCTTCGAGCGTGAGATTATTCAACGAATGGCGAAGCCGGATAAATAAACGGCGTAATTTAGGCTGGAGGAATTTAGGAAGTGGACTGTGCTACGCACAGCCTGGCCTGACAACGGCGTTGGGTCATGGGGGGACTGACCTGGCTTCCGCGGCGCAACTTCTCCTTCGGCAAGAAGAGCCCAT